GTCGTCTTTGGCTTCTTCGTCTGCACATCGGTGCTGTTCCAATACCGTCTGACGAGGAGCCCCACGCCCGTCTCGATCGAGGGTCGTCTGCCGTGGAAGAGGCACTTGTACGTGCTGTATGGAACCAGCGCCATCATCCTCGTGCGTAGCATCTTCCGTGTCATCGAGTACATCCAGGGTAACGACGGATACCTCATCACCCACGAGGTCTACCTTTACATATTTGACGCGCTGCTGATGGCCGCCGTTATGGCCATCTTCATCGTGTGGTACGTTGGAGATCTCGAATCGAAAAAGAAGCGCAAGGCGGCCAACCTGGATTCCTTGCACTCGAGTGACGGAATCGTGGAGATGGGCAGCAGGGGTGCGTAAAGCTCCACGAGGCGGCGAAGTCCAGTGCTGCCTGGCCAATTGGTTGGCGGGAGAAGGGACCACCCAGACGAAGATTATGAGGCCGGCATGTGTGGTCATTGGTCTACGGGTCTTGGTGATTCCGACTGGCGAGCGCGACCGGTCTGTGAGGCCAGTGTAGGGTGCGAGCCCGCCTTGTATCCAAGCCGCGATACGAAGTATTTTTGTGTAAGACAGTAGCACAATGTCTTCACGACGATTTTTTCCTATCGTCGTTTGATGATGGTGATCTGCGTATACACGATGACTGACCGCTTGTGTTCGAGCCAACCATCTATCACAAATAAACCCTGGTATCATGATGTGTTTACCCGCTTATCTCATTCCGACCGAATCCCAACCTCCCGTAACGCCGCGCTCGTATCACACAAAAGAAGCAGAATCATGCAGCTCTAAAACCATGCCAGCGTCCACAGCGCAGGCAAATGCGGCCAGCGGTCCTGCCAAGCGGCCAGGATATCAGGCACCTGCTCGTCAAAGCTAGCCCGGGCGCCGGCGCTGCCACTGTCAAAACTGGCCGCACCGGCAGACTGTCGTGCCTCCGTGGCGGCAGCGTTCAGCGTGTTGGCCAGGTCTAGGATGGCGCGGCCGCCAACGCTAGCCTCCTCATGGTTGTCCTTGATGTCAACGTTGATGACATGTACCGGGCGATTCATAGGTGCCCCGCGCGCCATGAGGTCGTCAATGACAGCATCCCAACACCTCTCTTCACACGTGATGACAATGTCGACGATGCCGCCCTCTACACCCTGGCTGCCACGGTCATCGGGCTTGTCAAGACGCGGCATGCCGACCTGCCAGTCTTGCCATCGTTCAGGACCCCACTTGACGTTGCGATTGCGGTCAACCATGTTGAGTACACCATTTTGCACGTACAGCTTGGGGTCCTTGGACTGAAGCTCCCGGTAAATACTGTCGTAGGATGTCTTGTTGAAGTGGTACACATTAGGCTGAGTGATGGATGGTCCAGGCAGGCGCACAAGAGAACCGGTGCCAAATGATATCACGGGGTAATTAGCCTCGGCAAGGCGGAGGTGGGACACCATAGATCTTGATAGAATTAGCAAGACAGCCTTCTGTATGTATTAGGTGAGGGCAGCATACCTGTTTTGATTACTGGCGCAGACCGTGCAGAACTTCAGCTTGAATCCTCCGGATTCGGGCGTCTGTTCACCATTGCCACTTGGCGCAACGGTCTGCGCTGTGCCGTTTGTTGTCTCCATGCTTTGATGTTTGAAGAGTTCAACAGACACTCTCGGGGTCGTGAGGGTACCGTCGTACGCTGCGAATCACGGGCAGCACGAGAAATCTGATACGTTCGAGTCAGCAACGTCGCGCGAAAAACGTGGTATCAGGTAAGAGGAAAGAGCGCAATTGAGCATAATTCAGAGGTTTTAGCGTAAGGTAATAGTGTGTCAACACGAGGTTCAGACAGCTCCAATAAAGAAATTCATCACGAAAGCTCGAGAGGGGATTGGTGTTTTTCGGGAATGGGGTTTCATCATACCTGATTCAATTACCTCCACTGCGAACGTCGTGCCATAAAGGATGTGTTACGATTATTGCAGCGAGCTTCACTACGCGAAGCGTCTGGCGATGCACAGGATTGAGTTGGGGGAGAGAGGAGACCGAGAGTTGAATTTTGTTGCCGGGATAGTGTGGATGTTGCGTTGGGTCGGTGACGAGGTGTGCATAGCGTGATCCGGTTTCGGTTAATTCTCGCTTGAATCTGATGTGCTTTTCTTCCCTTCCAGAGCGGTTCGCTTAGGTCATCACACTGAGTGCAACCCCCACCATAAAAGCATACACGAAATGCTGGCTGGCGGTCTTTGATTGCCAATGCCTAACGGGCTTTTGCTTGCAGACAACCTGAAACCAATGGTCGCTCGAAGAAGCCAATCAGAGCTACTGATCTGGCGGATCCAGGTCAGCCTCCTAAAATAGATTCACGATGTCCCTCGACGAGGTACACAAGTAGCTTCTTTGAACCATCACATTGCATCTTTGTCATAAAAACAAGAAAGCTTTGCCTGAGAGGCACAACTTGGCTCTCGTTAATCGTGTCTTCTGAAGATCGATCTCTGCCTTCGAATCACTTTCAGACCAGCCCATGTTTCGGAGTGACCGGTACGTAAGGCTTGCGAAGTCACCACATTTACCTTGTAACCCTATACTCGGCTTGATATTTAAAGCCATGGTAACCGTTCGTGACCACGTTCAAGTCCAGCATGAAGGCCTGGTGTTGTCGATCGGCCCACCACGTTAGTGGGTCATGTTTTCTGCTTCCAGAAGCACAGTATGCTAGTAGCTGACTTTCGAAAAAGCAAAGAAGGCTGGCTGGAGGGGAATTCAAGAGCTGCTGGCGTTTCTTGGCCTCGTGATGCTTTCAGCGCCTATTCTTCCAGTGTACCTAAGCACGGCAGGACATCAAGTAGCACCAAACACTTGTGCGAACAGCGGAAACCGAAATACTGCAGCGGAAAGTGCTCCGGGGCGAAGAAACCTGTACCTCACCGCAGCACTTTGCTGCCACGCAGGGCAGGCCAGGCGACATGGCGGAGCAACAAGAGCAGGAAGCTGATGTCAAGTCGCAATGCAGGGATCCGCTGATTGCTCTCCACCAGCAAGTTGACCCGACATTGGCAGGATTCGTAGTTAGAACCATGTGATTCGCGCAGGGGACTTTTGGCACCCCATGCGGCACTGTGGGCGGACCATGCGCCGTCTTTTGCGTGCTGGAGTTCTGCTCAAGCTCCCGAGGCCATCCTCTGGTCAATGGCCGAGAGAATCTGGCCTGGGTTTGCTTAGCAAGGTTCCCTTTGACCCAAGGGTCAAGATATAGGCGCAAGTCAAAACCAACTAGTTCCTTTGTCGTCGCCCGGTTCACTGGTATATGGCGAGTGTTCCTCGATGTTTCTAGCTTTGAGAGAGAAATTGTGCCCATGGCGAACCGTGCGCCGTAGATGAGCTGAGAGGCAAGAGGAGGGGCAGAAATAGAAGATGATGGATGGCTGGGGGTGAGCATCGTCCGATTTCCATGGCGGAGCTACACATATTCATGGGCGGTTGGGCACACACAGAGTGCCGGGCGGCTCAGATGGGCCAGTAAGAGTTCTGCGTGACCGGACGCGCTTAGGTACAGCTCTGGTTCCAAAGACATTCTGCGCGGAACAGGCAGCATAGGTTTGTGGTGGACGACCTATGGTTAGTACAAGACACATCAACAGAATGCATGTACCCTCGTCTAGGTACTGAGGCAGCAGAGGAACGGTCATGACTGTGGTTGACAGGCCCTCGCTAGCCATGAGGTGGGCTGAGGTAGGATAGACGAGGTAGACTTCTTACCCAAGGCGGGGGGGCGGGGGGGGCTCAGAAGACGAAGCGCGGAAGAGTGCGCAAGCAAAGCAGGCATCCCTTACAGGACCGGCAGCTCCCGCCGTCAGCATCTTTGTTGCCCTCAGGAGTAGGCAACCTGGTCAATTAGGTAGGTACTTGCCTCGGGAGGGAAGGAGGTGGCTACCTGGTAGTACTTCCTGAGTGTACCATCATACTTACCTAGGCACCCAGGTTGGTAGGTACCTAGGTAAGGTAGGCTCCCACCGGCCCACCCCACGCTACCTTACCACCCATAAACAACCCCCCCTCACTCCCCTTCTCAATCGTGCCAGCGACCAGCGTCTCGCTCCAGGGCAGCAACCACTGGTTATCTGAGTGGGTTGTCTTGTGTCTTTGACTCCTCTCTTCCACCACCTCCACCTCGATCTCCTCCACCATCATCAGTTGAACCACCCGGCCTCGTCCTCCAACACCGCACATTGTCTGAGCCACTCGCTGAGATCAACTCACCTGACGACACCCTTACATGGACTTTGATCTTAACCTTCTCCACACTCCTTTGACCTCCGTCATCTTCTAGCACTGCCTGCGACTGCTGGCCCATTCGCAACGCCTGGAAGGTTGTTGCTTCCCTCATAATTCCCTTGCCAGCCTCGTTAGGGCTACTCGCCAACCTCTCACTTCTCCAGAGACAGGCCAGGCGGCCGAAGCGCTTTGTCGTGGCGCTTTCCCCTTCGACTTCTCGTCTGCTCACACATCATTGCGGTCTATTCAACTTGTGCGATTGCGCCCCAGATTCGGCCGACAAGTGCGACGCCCCGTCTCTGCCCCAGTGCTCGAACTTGGTTTGGGTCGCCCCCACCAAGTGGCATACCAAACAGAAACCACCAAACCGCCGTGGGACTACCAGGCCGCTTGCTCGACGTTGGCTCCTGACAAGTTTACCGGCTAGTGTCGCTCGGCCACGGAGCCTTGCTGCTGTCTCCTTTGGCGGCGCTCTCGTCGACAACGACCACCTCTCTTCAATCATGGCCACCACCATGTCGCAAACCCCCTCGCCAGCGACGTCCCCTCCGGCAGCCTCTCCGGCCTCGAATCCGAACCATCCTCCGCTTCCGCCTCTCGTCACCTCTCCACCAAACCGCCATTCTACGCTTCCGAGACCGCTCTCCCACGCCTCCAAGAATCGATTGTCTCAATACTCCACCGGGTCCATCCCCTCTCGATCGCGACCGCCCTCTCATATATTTCCCATGTTTCCATCGAGCCTCCCATACACCCTTGTGCGCGATTTCGCCTATCCGGTTGTGCAGTCCATGCACTATGGACCCCTTCCCGAGCCTTCCCATCCCGCCTCCGGTCTGAGCACGCCCATGAGCGAATCTCGACGACTCTCGGACCCGCCCGCTACCTGGGACTCCAAGATGAGCTGGGAGACAGGTGGCTGGCAGCCCGATGGTTTTGGTCGTGGCAACGACTTGCCTCCGATACAATTCGGTGATGGTCCACCCTGGAGCGAAGATGAAGACCTGCAGAGCCCTGTTGTGAGCTCACGGCATCGCAAGCACAAGTCCTCGCATGCTGCCCTTGGCCATGGGCGCCATAACGGCGGTGCTTCCATGGCGAACCCTGCCAACTATGACAGAGAGCGGGGTTATTTCATGGGCACAGCTGGTGATGGTAGCGAGCGTTACTACGTGAATCAGGGGGGCGAAGCCAACGGCCCTGGCGGCGAGTATGTCACCTACTCTGCTGCACAGGCACGGCACTCTCGCCACTCATATCAGATAGGCGAGCAGCCACCGCGACAGTATCTTGACCATGGGGGACCAAGGTCTGAGTCGGATGCCTCAAGCTCTGCGTCTTCGCCTGGTTTCCGTGAAGAAGATCAGTCCCGGTACTCCAGAGACTACCAATTTACCATCACGTCACCGGACGAGGAGATGCACGGCAAAGCTGTAGCCTTGTTTGACTTTGAACGGGAGAATGAAAATGAACTGCCGCTGGTGGAGGGCCAGATCATTTGGGTGTCATACCGCCATGGCCAGGGTTGGCTGGTAGCCGAGGACCCCAAGACCAGAGAAAGTGGACTTGTTCCGGAGGAGTATGTGCGTCTTCTGCGAGATATTGAAGGTGGGATGAACAGTCTGACCGGCAACCTTGGAGAGGGACCTGTATCGCCTCACGACTCAGGCACACCGACGCAAGCAGATCACACCACCACATACGAACAGCAACAGCCTCCCGCGACCACGACCACTGCGCCAGCCAACGGATATCATCAACCCGTCGTTTCGACCTTCTCAACGTCGAGCAAAGACCTCGACCCATACCCTACGCAGCAACTCGGAATTCAAGCGGGACAACCACCGCCGCAAGTCGTACACTATCATGGGCAACGAGGTGGAAGCCAGGCAAATACTCCCACGCTTTCGTCGCATCAGGACACGGGAGCCATGCGCCGCGGTAGCCAGGACCCTGGTACCAAGACGAACGATCCCCAGTTTACGCCTGTTGTTGAGATTGTCGAGGACAAGACAGTCGACAGCTCGAGCACGCCACAGGTAGTCACATCAGCAGAAGAGCCTGCGAACGAGAAGGCGGTGGGAGAGGACAGGTGACGAAGACGCAGCGATGGTTGGCCAATCGCCCTGGTGATCTTGGCCTTCACTGAGAGCGTCTTTCTACAGAATCTTGTACAAAGAAATGAGAAACGGTCGGCTGGAGCGTTTTATTTGATTGGCGAGCTACTTGCATGTCAGAGGGGGGCGCTTGATGGATTGGATTGGGCCCCGCCAACAGTTGGACAGTGAGAGAAGCAGGGGTGGATCTAAGCTTGAGGGCATGTCTTGAACTTGGATGGCACAAGACCCGAGCATCGCGGATGATGATGAAGGATGACAGCCTACAGTGGCAGGCAGATGGCAACATCCTGCTGAGATATCTATCAGCCTATTGTAAGAATAAACTGCTGCGTGAACAGACACGCCCAGGAGACCACTTGCATTTTCGTTGTCAACTGGATGTTGCTTAGAAATCGATACTGCGACTCCATGCCAGAGCCACCACACGTGACTGCCTCTGTACGTCATCCACTCATGGCGTCAGCGGGTGGGTACCTACTGTCCCGACTCGGGAGGTAGGAGGCCTTTTTGATCGCCGGCAGCTTCAGTGTATATCCTCCAACCACAATTCAATAAACGAATCAACTTTCTGTCGCCCTCACGACGCCAATTGAATTCGAGATGTTCTCCAGATCAGCTTTCAGGGCGGTGCAGCCCCTCAAACAGGTACGCGATCACCCACTTTGTGCTCCGTGGCATTTCCATCGCGCCACAACATCATGCCAGAACATCGTTACTGACCATTTCTTCAGCAAACACGCCGCTACGCCACAGAGCCCTCGACCGGCGGTTCCAACACCGCCCTCTACGCTGTTGGTGCCGTCGGTGTCGCTGCCGCGGGCTACTACTTCCTTGGTGGTGCGCCCGCCGCCAAGAAGGCCGAGGCGAAGATCAAGGACGCTGCCGCCGACCTGACGAATGCCACGACGAAGAAGGCTCTCAACGGCGTTGACCAAGGCTTCGTTTCGCTCGCTCTCGAGAATGTCGAGATCGTGAACCACAACACTAAGCGTTTCCGCTTCAAGCTGCCCGAGGATGATCAGGTCTCCGGCCTGTCCGTCGCCAGCGCTGTCCTGACCAAGTACAAGGGTCCCGAGATGGAGAAGGCTGTGTTGCGCCCCTACACTCCCGTCAGCGACGAGGGTATGACCTTGCCCTTCTATACTTCTAACAAATGATGGACTGCAAGGCTGACGAGAACACACCCAGACGCCAAGGGCTACCTCGACCTCCTCGTCAAGAAGTACCCCGACGGCCCCATGTCCACGCACATGCACGACATGACGCCTGGCCAGCGCCTCGACTTCAAGGGTCCGCTGCCCAAGTACGCCTGGACCGCCAACAAGCACGAGCACATTGCCCTCGTAGCCGGCGGCACGGGCATCACCCCCATGTACCAGCTCGCCCGCGCCATCTTCAACAACCCGGCCGACAAGACCAAGGTCACGCTCGTCTTCGGCAACGTGACCGAGGAGGACATTCTGCTGCGCAAGGAGTTTGCCGAGCTCGAGAACACGTACCCCCAGCGCTTCCGCGCCTTTTACGTCCTCGACAAGCCCACGGGCGAGTGGTCTGGCGGCAAGGGCTTCATCGACAAGAACCTCCTCAAGACGGTCCTTCCCGAGCCTTCGTCTGGTGACGTCAAGGTCTTCGTCTGCGGCCCGCCCGGCTTGATGAACGCCGTCTCCGGCAACAAGAAGAGCCCCAAGGACCAGGGCGAGCTTGTTGGCATCCTGAAGGAGCTCGGCTACTCGCCTGACCAGGTCTACAAGTTCTAAGCTGCTGCTGGTTTGGGCTCGTATTTCCTGGTAGAGGGACGACTGTTTTGTACGAATATGGCAGGCATTAGAATGTAGAAATGATATGTTAGACCGCCACACTGAACTCAGCCCGGCTGTGCTTTTTTGTTTGCACATTATGGACGATGCCCATTCCCTTGCTGAGCTTTCATGGTAGTTATCACGGCCTGGCCGTCAACTCGTGTAGCCCTACTTCATTTCTACTGGCCGTCCACACAGATCTCAGTCCGACATTCACAAACCCAATGGAGGGCGTACTCAGCGTCACCCTATAGTCCATCTCAAGGAATTGTGTCCAATGTAACGGTTCATGGAGGAATGTTCTCATACGTGCCATCCGGACAGCATGGGTATACACCACACTTCTGTTGACTAAATGCTCTTGTCCGCTGACTCCAAGCTCTCTCCAATGATCCCTGCCCACCTCACAGCATTCACATAGTCCCTAGCGTCAATGCTCTCCTGCAGCCCGGGGAATACGGCACCCGCATAGCCCGTCCACAGGCCCGGGGCGAAGACCACGTGCTTGAACCAGTCACGCCCGTCGAGGCCTTCGGGGTGCAGGAAGTGGCGCTCGAAGCCCTTGTACGCGGCGTTGACATGCACGAGCGCCCAGCCGAGCTTGAGGCGCTTCCAGATGTGCCACCAGGGTACGCCGGCGGCTATGGTGTCTTCGACCCAGCGGCCCAGCGCGTCGAGGCGCTGGGTCTTGATGCGGAGATTGGCGGTCAGGAAGCGCAGGTGGGCGAGGGCCTCAGCGACATCGGCGGGACTGCCGCGTGGACGGACTTCTTCGGCTTCAACACCCGAGGGGAGGCCGCTGGAGCGAAGGGCGAAGATTTCTTCTTCGGACATGGTGGCGATGTCGGGCTCGGCGGAGGAGGTGGCGGCGGTCAGTTTGGCGTCGATCTTATCAATGTAACCGGCGAGAGCGTCAGCATAATCGGTCGCGTCGAAGCGGATGATGGGCTTGTTGGACAGCTCCGCCACGGTGCGACCGAGGATACGCGCCATGGCCTTGTGGTATTGGAAGCCTGGGTCGCCAAAATTTTCCATCCAGTAGAATGAGTCGTAGTTGCTGTGGTAGTGGTATACCGCATCTTTGGGGCCGTAGCCGCCAAACCCAAAATCCAGCGATGGGATGCCGGCAAAGTCCTGGAACGCCGTGAAGTCGGAGCCGGAGCCCATGGGCCTGATCTTGCCGCTCCACAGATCACCGACGGTCTGTCCTGGGACAGTCTGGTTTGGCGATGGAATAGCGGCAACAACCTCCCGAAGGACGCGGTGAAGAAGCGGGGCTGCTGCGGCATCAAAGTTGGCACTCCGGACGCCCACATCAACATTGACGTAGGCAACCGCAGCATCCGTGAGCCAGGGGAGATACTCCTCAACCCATTCAGTACTGCCGATGAGGGAATATTCCTCGCCATCCCAAGAGGCGAAGACAATTGTGCGGAGCGGGGTCCAGCCAGCTGCAAGAGCGGCTCCGACGCTACGAACGACTTCGTTGAGGACGGCGGAGCCACTGTTGGGGTCACCAGCGCCGCCAGCGATCCAGGCGTCACGATGGTTGCCGATCACGACCACTTCATTCGGGATAGTACCATTAACAATTCCGATGACGTTCCAGAGAGGCGTCGTCACGTAGCTTTGCTCGTTGTACAGGTTGATGACGACGTTGTCGGGCGAGGGGCCAATGTTGTACTCAATTCCCTTGTATTTCAAGCCCAAGTTGCGGGTCCAATACTGGTTGAAGTCATCAGCCGAGGGTCCATGGCCGTTCAGAGCCTTGAGTATGGGCAGTGCATCGGCGTATGAGATGGGAATCGATGGGATCGATGGAATGGCGGCATCCACAGGTGCTCTGGGCGCACCGGGCTTGCTTGGATATCCCGGAGTTGTTGGGTCTCCAGGACGCACGCTCAAGAATTGAGCGCTGCCACGCTGGACGCTCGAAGGGTTGCGAGCCGGGCCTTCTGGGTATGTCTTGTACCCATTCTCTTCTCGGATCTCGCCATCGTCACCAGGGTCGCTGTAGAGCACAGCACCAATCATGCCGAGCTCCTGGGCCCGTTTGATCTTGAGACCGCGGAAGATACCACCGTAGCGCGCGATGGCGATCTTGCCTGCAAGGCTGACATTGGCCTTGCGTAGGTCCTCAAAATCTTGGTACGTGCCATAGTTGACCCAAACAAAGGAACCGGTAACGTTACCGCTTGCTGAGTAGCCGTGAAAGGTAGGGATGCGATCTGCGGAACCGGATGTGGGGTCTTCGTCGAGGATGTCCTCTTCGAGCGATGCCTCGAAGTCAACCTTCCAAGAAGCATCTTGCGCATTGCTGTCTTTCTCCTCGCGGCTGAGAACGGAAAGGCTATGGTTCACAGGATAGTTCAAGTACACATCGTAAGAAACAATGTCAGAGGGGACACCCCATTCAATCCACCTCTCCTGGGTCCATCTCGCCTAATGTGTTTGTGAGTACTATTTCCCCACGTAGTCGAGTGGATAGCGTACCTGAGAGAAGTTCTGGCCTGCCAGATGGGGACCGGCGGTGTAGTATCTGCTCCAGTCCTCGGCCTTTTCGGCAGATGGGGTCTCGAAAAGGACACCAAGCAAGTCCTGGTGCGAGAAGTTGGGCCCCGTCTGCGCAGTAGAGTGAGCTGGTCCACTTGGCGGACCAGGAAAGTAAGAGGAGCCGTCGTCGGGATCGAGACAAACCAGGACCACGAATGTCGTAAAGAAGGCAAAGAGACATGCGCATATCGCAGTGGTACACAGGCGTCGAACGTAGTGGTGCTGGTACCGCTGCCTGGGCTCCGCCACGACAACCGTGGCTATCAAGGGCGTATGCTCGTCTGCCATGACGACGCCCGGCGGGTGCTTGTGCGCTGGAGACTTTTCAGTCATGGTAACAGTGAGAATGTGCTGTGAAACCTGGTCGTATTGTGTTGTCTGTCGCCAAGATATATCCGTTCTGAGATACGAGCAACAGAAGGAGAAGGGGGGATGTACCGCAGGTGGATGTGATGTAAAGATCGCTCTGCGCCTTCGATAGATGCGTCGAGTATCTTAGGTGAGAGCGCACCAAGACTGAGCTGAGGTGAAGCGAAACTCAAGGAAGAATCACTACACCGTGAAGCTTAGGTGTGAATCCTGAAGAAGACCTCGGTGGGTTGTCGAGAGGTGGGCAGTGGGTCGTATCGTTTGTCATCGATGGCATCAGTGAACATGACTTTGATGCGATCAAGGAATCTAAAGTGGAGAGTGTACCGTGCCTGCCCCTGGGCAGAGGGGTAGGGAAGTCGCCTACCTTCCTGAGGGTAGAGACAGTGAGGGTTATACAGTACCTGCCTAGAATTGGCACATGATGACGCTTTAGGTGGTCGAGGAGCATGGTGCGCTTACATCATCAGCGTGGAACGTGTGCTCGTACTGCAACTCGGATCCTATTGCGGGGTGGATATTCGGCCCCCGGGTTTGGCGCCGATGACGGCCGGGCCAGCATCGGGCCGCCAGTTGCCAGAATCACGAGGGGGCCACATAGGCCAAGCAACTGACCGACTGTGAGGCCTGGACCTGTGACCCCCACCCTGCGTCGGGGGGTACGCGACTCCTTCAACGTTGGAAAAAAAAAATATACCCTGTCGCACCTCAACGCTGAACACACCATCTCGCCGTCCCATCCGCTACTTCTCGGTCAAGTTGACGACGACGCCGCCGACAACCGACCAACATGCCGACAGCGGACTCGCCACACTGACCATGGCTGCCACCCCTTCCCTCCTCCCTTGAAACTTACATTGCATCCTTCGCAGGACGCTTGTCTCTCTTTCACCTCGTGACGGCATTGCTTACATGAGGCGCCTTGGATCGACAACCAATACCGCCTTTCTTTGGGGGATTTCTGCAAGGCTCATCGTTCATCGGATATGCACCTGTCATCCGGAACCAATCGCACATGGAGGAGGAGCCCCTCACAAGACTCGGGAGGCGTCATCTTTCCCCCGAAGGCAAGACCTGTCGCTCGGTGAGCCGACCGCGGGGGTATGAACCTGAGACCAAACAGGCTGTTGTGCAGTAGTAAATGCCCAACGAGGCAAGTGCAAGTGCATGGAGAAGTGCAACGGCTGGGCACCTAATGCGAGGCGAGCGCGAGCGCATCGGGCTGCAGCGCTTGTGTGTGGAGGTGGGAACGCACTACGACGCTAGGAAAATGGCCAGTGGGGTCGTTGCCTGTGACCGATGCAAGGTTTTGCAGGTGCAGTTTCTCTTCATTTGACCGACCGATTCCTCGATTTCTCATCACTTCTGCATCTTTTTCTTCGTTATTCGGCCTCTTTTGTCCGCAGCCTGTCCAACCGAGCCTTGCTCTGGTCCTCTAGTCTTGACCAAATCTTGCTAGATCTCCCATATTTGTTTACGCCTAGCTGAAGGCGCCTTGGGCTCTAAATATATCCCCATCTTATCCTGCACCTGTCTATCCACCAGATCGCCGACCCGCTTTCTGTAGGCTCACGTACTCCCCTTCAGCCATCATGTCGAACCCCAGGAGGAGGCGAGAGCCGCAGCTGCCGGTGCAACAGCTGGCCATTTTGGGTAAGCTACACAGACTCTCTCACCTCGGCCCATAAACCAGCTTTATCCTGGATACCTCCTCTCGTATCTTGCGGACACTTCGGACAACTCTACATGTCTATCTAGGCTAGTGCCCCTGCTAGGACATGGGATACAGCGGACATCGCGTCATCATGGACGACGATGTTGAGGAGGGCCAAAAGACAGACAAAATGCTACCTAGATATCTTTTTCATTCTTTTTTTTTATGTTATCCGCTTCAGCATGTGCTGCACTTTGGTCATGATCTTCCTCGCCGCCTGATCACCGTGAGCCTGAGCTGCATTCTCATGCTTGAAGCAGGAACGTAACATGGACCTCTCCACCAGCACGAAGGAGGGATCGTAGTCGTCTCCATATTTGCTGTACCGACACCTCACAGGTATTTACAGCTATTAGCAACATGGTCCGCTAACATTTTCCCAGCCATCGCGCGATTCGCCGAGCCCCTCGCCATGACTTCCGTCTTCCCCTATCTTCCAGAGATGATCCGCAGCTTCGGTGTCGAGCAGAACAAAGTCGCCAAATGGGCTGGCATCACGTCTGCCGCATTTTCACTTTCACAGAGCGCCTGTGCGGTGCCTTGGGGGAAAGCATCCGACACGTTTGGCCGGAAACCGACCATCATCGCCGGCTTAACCTCCACCATGACACTCTTCCTCGTATGGGGATTCTCGACTAGTCTAACTATGGCTATCATCGTGCGCGTTTTGCTTGGAGGTGGCAACGGCAATGGTGAGTTGAGCCATACCCTATTCATCTTGGATAGCACGTCCTGATATCCTGACTAGTTGGCATCATCCGCACCATGGTGGCCGAAATGGTTACCGAGAAGGAGCTCCAGCCCCGAGCATTCTCTGTCATGCCTCTCGTATGGACGATTGGAAGTAAGCTCCCTCCATAACCAACCCACCTAGAATCACGCACTTACATGGACAGGCGTCTTCGGTCCTGCCTTCGGTGGCATTTTTGTCCAGCCGGTCGAGCGCTTCCCAGCTCTCTTCGGCAACAGCACATTCTTTAAGACCTTCCCATTCGCCTTGCCAAACATGATCATGTCCATCTTCTTCCTCATATCACTTGGATCAGCCATCTTCTTCCTACACGAGACGCTTGAGAGCAAGCGAGGTAGCAATGACTGGGGTTTGCAGATGGGACAGCGTCTTACTCGCACCTTTAGACGCCGTCGCCACGACATTCGAGCGAGGAGGACATCCTTCGTTGACAGCGAGGCCACGGCTCCCTTGTTGCCAGCCATGATTAAGGCCCCAAAGAAGTCCATGATCACGACCAAGCCATCAATGGGCGAAGTGTTCACCAGGCAAACGGTCATTGGTCTCGTTGCCTACACATTCTTGGCTCTCCACGCCGTCGCTTTCGATCAGGTTGTTCCCGTCTTCCTGAACTATCCGATAATCGAACACACACCCGAAAACACGAGTCTACCCTTTCAATTCAGCGGCGGTTTCGGTCTCGGCTCCGAGCGTATCGGCCCCATCTTCGCCATCTACGGCGTTGCGTGCGGCGCGATTCAGTTTCTCTTCTTCCCAGTCCTCTGCAGCCGATTTGGCACTCTCCGATGCTACCGCGCGTGTGCCTACGTCTCGCCCTTTGTGTATATCCTCATGCCATATACCGTCCTCCTTCCTACCACGACAACACGCTACATTGCGCTCCTGTCTCTTATGCTGGTCAAGGGCTTCGCTGCCATTGTTGGCTTTCCCTGTATGACTATTTTGCTCACCAACTCGGCGTCCAGCCTGCGCATTCTGGGCACTCTCAACGGCTTTGCGACCATGTTCTCCGGCCTGGGCCGTGCCGTCGGACCGGCCAGCGCCGGCGTCGCGTTCAGCTGGGGTGTAGAGAGGGGTTATGTGATTACTGCTTGGTGGCTTCTTTCATTCTGTGCTGTGGTCGGCGCCATTCCTGCCATGATGCTCACCGAAGGCGACGGCCCTGCGCCCAGCACCGAGACGACAGACGACGAGGCCGATGAGGAGACCTTGCTAGAAGATGACGATTCCGACGTGGTAACAACGGCCAAAGACAGGAATGAAGGAGAAGAAGGCGAGTATTCCTCTGAGGATGAGCCTTTACTGGGACGTGCAGGTAGCAGTGGTCGCACGACACCGAGAGCTGGATACGATTCCATCACGACGAGCAAGCAATGATGTTAGAGAATGATGAGCAAAAGGTGTGATGAGAGTGGGCTTTCACGATGTGAAACGCTACCAAGTTGACGAAACTCGAGAAGGGAATCTGCGAAATCTTACGCATGCTTGACGGATCATGAGCGAGTTTGAGTTTTATTTAGTTTGAGGATTTTCGGCACATAGCATAGTCCATGCGGTTCTGCACGCGAGGTGTAATGGTGTAATGAGCATTGCCTGACTACTCAAAGCTTCTGTTCAGCTTGTCAGTATGAAATTGCCAGCACTTTTTTTTTTTGAATTTGGTTCTGCACGGCTAGGTGCTCATACACCTAACATAGTACACGCAGCGCAGTTAAATTATCGTAAAGGCCGTCTGCCAGCGGGACTATGTGGAGGAATACCAAGTTGCCGATATCGGCCACCAGGCACTTTCCCTCCCTAGGTAGGTAGTTGCACCACAGGAATAATTTCGCCGCCTGTTGCACACCTCACCAGACTGGCAGAGCTTCCGCATGTATCGTAGTAAATCGTGAACTTTCATTATTTTCATTGCGCGCGCGAGCGCTCGGCACTTTTTGTGTGTACCATGGTATATCATCGAAGCAGCGTTTCGTAAAAGCGTCATGGCTTCTCCCTATACATCCCCTAATTTTTGTTTTAGAGTGTTCCCAAAATTCCCATCCCGTCCCGTTCCCTTGCTGCGGTATTCCAACACGCGCTTCATTTCCATTCGTTACGCCAGAAAAATCATCATACCGCCCACCATGTCCCGCCCCAACGACCAGCATACGCCCCTACGATACGGTCTTGGGGAGGGGGACTCTACCACTGCCACGACGAGTTGTGTTGCTAAACAGTGAAAGAGGTCTACGCGAAGAGCTTCTTCTCGTAGGACTCCATGTTCACGTTGCCCTCCATCTGGGCGCTCGACGTGCGAAGCTCGAAACGGAGGGTACCGTCGGCGACGCTCTCGTGCAGCTCGGTCAGGCTCTGCATGCCGCAGTCCTGCATTGAGTGCTTGAGGCCGGCCGCGAGGTAGGGGACGAACTTGGAGATGGGACTGTCAAGACTGTCAGCAAACATGATCGGAGGGTGGTTGAGCGCGGGAGAAACATACCCCCTGTGCGCGACGGAGCCGGTAACGCCCTGGGCAACCAGGACGCTGTCGCCCTCGGAGAAGTAGCGGGCCGTGCCGGCGTTGCTCTTCTGCGAGTCCTTGCCGCCACCGCCGGCCTTCTTGTCCTGCATGGCGTCGATGCTGCCCATGCCACGGTAGGCCTTGACCAGCTTGCCCTCGCGCGAGACGAAGGACGTGCCGGGGGACTCGGTGGTGCCGGCGAGCAGACCGCCCATCATGACGGTCGAGGCACCGAGGGACAGGCCCTTGACGACGTGGCCGACGTTCTGGACACCGCCGTCGGCGATGCAGGGCACGCCGAAGCGGGCGGCGAAGCTGCTGACCGAGTAAACGGCAGCAGCCTGGGGGCGGCCGACGGCCATGACCTCCTGTGTGATGCAGGCCGAGCCGCTGCCCATGCCGATGCGCAGACCGTCAACGCCGGCGGCGATGAGGGTCGCGGCTTGCTCGCGCGTCACGACGTTTCCGCCAATGACGTCGAGGCCGGGGAACTCGGACTTGATCCACTTGACCATCTCGGCCTGGTACATGCTGTTACCCTGGGACGAGTCCAGGATGACAATGTCAAGGCCAGCATCGACCAGCAGAGCAAGACGCTCGCGGTCGGCGGGACGGGTGCCAATGGCAGCAGCGCAGAGGAGCTGCTTGCTGTCGGGGAGCTTGGAAGCCAGGGGGAAGTGCTGGTTCTTGTTCAAGTCGGAGCGGGAGATCATGGAGACGAGGTTGCCCTCCTTGTCGACGATGGGCAGCTTGCCCTTCTTAGACTTGGCGAGGATCTTGTTCGCGTCGGGCAGGTCAACGCCCGAGGGAGCAGTGATCAGCTCGGTCACCATGACGTTGGAGATGGAGGTCTCGGGGTCCTCCTCAAACTGGATATCACGGTTGGTGACGATACCCAGCAGCTTGGAGCCGAGCTTGCCGTTCTCTGAAAGCATTGGTTAGCTTTGCGGATTCTTGCCAAAATAGCGCAAAATAGTAAAAGATGAAAAAGGCTTATTTTCATAGTCTAATTAGATATCCTCAAGACAACATGGTTGTCACGTATGGTGGAACGAAAGTTATGACATGGTTTTTTAATCATCGAAAGCCGACAAAAGGGTGGGGAGTGCTGGTAACACGAGCGAAGAGAAGAGAGAGAAATAGGCGACTGACCTGTGACGGGGAAACCGCCGAAACCCCACTTCTCCTTAAGAGCCTTCGCCTCGCCGACAGTGGTGTCGCGGCTGATGACAACGGGGTCGAGGATGAAGCCGTTCTCATAGCGCTTCACCTTTCGGATCATGTCGGCCTGGGCCTCGGGGGAGCAGTTGTGGTGAACAACGCCGAGGCCGCCCTGGAGCGCCATGTGAATGGCCATCTCGTGCTCAGTGACGGTGTCCATGGGCGAGGAGACGAAGGGGGTCTTGAGGGTGACACGCTTGGTGACAGGCGAGTCGAGGTTGACGGCGGAGGCGGGGAAGCCAATGTAGCCAGGAAGCAGCAGGAAGTCGTTGTAGGTCAGACCGCCGTGCTTCTTGGTGTCCATGAGCTCGGTGATGTTAAGACCGTCACGGCCCTCGTACTCCTTGAGGACATCGAGAGCGGTGGCGTGGTCGAGCACCTTCGCGCCCTGGGTACCGTTGGTGCCAGGCATTTTTCTTCTTCGCTTTGCTGGGGCAAAGTGATGGATGGAAAAGAGTGGGAGAAAGTAGAAGCGGGAGAAGGCAGCGAGGAAGAAGAAGCTGTCGTCACGCAAAGTCCTGATGCTTGCTTGGCTCGTTCAATGACTGCGATCGGTTGGTCTCTTCTTCCCAGTAGAAGGAGGGAAGAAAAAGTTCGTCTGGTCCCCGCTGGAAACTTTTTTTAAAGGCCCGCTCAGACCCTGCACATTTTGAGCTGACTGACCCGAACTCGGTGCGGTGCGGGGCAGGGGGCCAGCAGCGAGTTGTAGGGCCCAATCGCCTGGCCTCCAGCACACAAGCCCCACACCACGCGAGCGGTGTGTGCCCTGTGCACGGCTGTCATGGATAGAAGCATGTTTGCTGGTTACGCCTTTGGCCATGACCCGGTTTCTTCATGACCGCGCCAACCCTTGCGTCTGCTCTCCGTGAATTGTGACCAAGGAAAAGGTATACCAGTTCCTTCCGACATATGGTCGCCCCGGTTCAAGGGCCGTCTGAATGCATCAAGGATTTTACGTCGCACGAAGGCCTTGACGACGTGACTTGTGTTTCTGGGCAGGAAGTGTAGGCGTATCCAGCAGGCCAACAGGAGGTGTTGAAATCCCATCCAATTGCCCAATCATCAGTGCCAAGCTGTCAGGCGCCCACCAGTTTCTATTGATCCATAGACTCGTTTCTAGAGACCGATGACGATCCTCGGAGCGCATCTTGTTCAGGACGTAGCTTGAACAAGAGGAGAAACGGCACAGGATACCCGTCCAACCACGTGGAGACGTAGTCAACACGTTACGAATTGATGTGATGGTCTGGATTTATCGGTATACTGTGTTGTGCTTTTGCTCCTGGTCAATTGAGTAGGATCAACAGTCGCTTGGCACCACATCCCGAGCCGTCTCTGACTGCCGTGGGAAGCCATCCTAGGAGGTTTAGGGGCAAAGCAGCAACACTTCATTCAGCCTTCACACTGCCAACAGGCCCAGTCGAAACGAAACACGCGAGGTCGAGGCAAATAAGGTCGCAGGCACAAAGGCCGTAGCACCGGCACATTATCGGTAGCTGCCGGCTCAGTGTGACGTGACGTAACAGCGCTAGCAAAAACCAGGCCTGCGCCAGACAGCGCCGGACAGCGGTTGCTCCACTCCTCCCACCCATCTGCGCCTAGCCACATCAGGCAGTAAACAAACACAGAAACTCAGCACAGCAACGGCACTCACTGCTCCAAAGCACCAAACATCCATGGACCCCTCAGCCGTCCAGCCGCCGACTGCCATCTGCTCCTGCGTTATCCTTGTTCACTTTTAACATTACGGTCGCGAAATAATGGCCGCCACGTACAGGGCATGAGGTTATCGACGAGAACCCATACGATTCATTTCTTCCTCAACATCATTGCTGCTGTGGTCCTTGCACTGCTCCCTCGCCCCAACTCCCTCGCGCCGAGCGCGCCCATGTCTTAGATCCCCGACCACGCGCCACTCCACATTGTTGTGACCCAACTCTGCCTCTGGCATTGCCTCCGACTTGGGCCCTCCAAGAGAGCAAACTTCACCCCTCCGCATCCTCCGCCGCCTCGACACATTCCAAGCCAGCCACCAAAGTCGACCCTGACCCAGCGTCATTTGGTTAGCTCAGCCCGAGGAACATCGACCCAGAGCCTCCCCAGCGAAAGCGCCTTCATGTGGTCATCCGAATTCCGCGAATACATGAACCTGCAGCGCAAACTTTCCTCGACCTCCTAACCGACGTTCGGCATCGTCAACCATGTCGTACCGAACACACCCTCTCCGGCAATCACAAAACCTCGAAACAGAAGGAAATGTCAACCGGCAACCCTCAACTGCCTCATCGTCTGCCTCCTCTGGCTACTCCAATTTCTCCGAGCGCAGTCGCGCCAGTACAGTATACTCCTCAGCCTCGAGCGGCTACGCCGCCGCTCACACCCACAAACGGGGCATGAGTGATGTCAGTCGCTTCAGCCAGCGTCCGCTGGAAGATGACGTCTTCACAAGTTCAAAGAAGAAGGAGGAGGGCAACATCTTCAACATGGCTCGCATGTCCTTACGACCACTCCCCCAAGCTCCCGCCGGGCCGTCTCCCGCATCCTCGCCCTCACCCGAGCGGAAACCGACGAGCTATCGCCATGACCGCGGCCAAAGCATCGACGTCGGCAGATTCTCACTCTCGCAAAACGATGGCAGCAGCTCGCCCACGCCCACAGCTACACCCAAGAAGGCTACAACGCCCAAGGCTACAACGCCCAAGACCACAACGCCCAAGGCCACAACACCCCAGCCGCCGACGCCCACCTCAAGGCCCTCGCCGATTCGACCGCACTCTATGCTCTTGACTCGATCCGACTCGGTCAGCGTGGGCAGCGCCGCCCTGCCTCACGCGAACTCGCCATATCACCCACACCAGACGCACGCCGCGCCACTTGAGCGGCCCGATCTTCAGAGCTTTGGAAGGTCCTCGACAAGCCACTTCCGCACGCTTTCAAAGCTCGCGCAAACCGACTCTGCCGACGACTTCAAGATCACATCTCCCGCACAGGAGGTCGTCGGCCTACGCGGTCGGCGCAGGCTGCAGAGGACAGGTGAAGACAAGGGTCGTATAGGCCAAAAAAGTGGCGGTTACGGCTGGGAGGGGAGGAATTGGATGGATAAGCAGCGACAATTCCTTCAGGCCTACGAATACCTTTGCCACGTCGGCGAAGCCAAGGAGTGGATTGAAGATGTCATCCACAGGGACATTCCTCCCATCGTGGAACTGGAAGAGGCCTTGCGAGACGGCGTCACCCTAGCTGAGGTCGTGGAGACGTTGAACCCAGATCGTCGGTACCGCATCTTCCGCCACGAAAGGCTGCAATACCGACATTCGGACAATATTGCCATTTTGTTCCGATATCTCGACGAAGTCGAACTTCCCGACCTTTTCCGCTTCGAGCTCATCGATTTGTACGAGAAGAAGAACATACCCAAGGTCATTTATTGCATTCACGCCCTCAGCTGGCTGCTGTTCAGAAAAGGAATTGTCGACTTCCGCATTGGCAACCTTGTTGGTCAGCTGGAGTTTGAGCACCATGAGCTCGAGGCCATGCAGAAAGGACTCGATAAACTTGGGGTTAGCATGCCCAGTTTTGGCAATATGGGTGCCGACTTTGGCGTTGAGCCCGAGCCCGAGCCGGAAGAGACGGAAGAAGAGCGCATCGACCGAGAGCTGGCTGAAAACGAGGGCTCCATCATTGAGCTACAGGCACAAATCAGAGGCGCTGCGCTGCGAATGGAACTAGGCGACACCATGCAGAAACTCTGGAACTCCGAGACAGCTCTCATCGAGTTGCAGTCTCGAATCCGTGGCGACTTCACGCGTCAGATCATGGACTACAGGCTCCAGATGAGAAAGTTTGCTGTGAACCTGCAGTGTCAAGCCCGCGGCTTTCTCGTCCGACGACGACTCGCTAATAAGGAAAGATTCTGGAGGAGCTTGGAGCCTGACATCTTGGAACTCCAGAGCCTTATCCGGGCTAAGAAGGTCCGTGATGAGGTGCAGCACTCCAAATCTCAGCTCGCCATGCACGAAGGTCCTGTAAGGGGCATCCAAGCGGCATTCAAGGGCTATCTCGTCCGAAAGAGCTTCGACAGTCAACGAACCGAAACGCAACAGACATCTGGTCAGGTGCAGCAGCTTCAAGCAGCTGCTCGGGGCATGCTATTACGAGGCCGGGTTGACAGGGATCAACTTTCCCTCGAACAACAAGCCCCGGCCATCATCGACTTGCAAGCGGTTGCGAGGGCGTTGCTGATGAGGGGTCAGATCGCCCGCGACCAGGAGCATCTTCAAGGCTTCGCTCCGCAGTGGACTGCGCTCCAAGCCAAGTTACGTGGCAATGTCGCCCGTTCTGCCATTCTCTCAACGAAAGCAGAGCTCAAGGAACACTCCCCTCAGCTCGGACAGCTGCAGGCCTTTGTTCGCGCCGGAGCCGTGAGACGAGACGTCGCTCAGACACTCGAGGCATTGGCCAGCAACGATGGAGCCAATATTCAGCTGCAGTCCTGTATACGTGCTATGGCAACCCGAGGCCGCCTTGCAGCCGACAAGGAAGCCTTGACACAACAGGAGCCTGCTATCACCCGTCTGCAAAGCCATATCCGAGGCCACCTATGCCGCTTACGACACACGCAACTCCTCGAAGAGCTCGAGTCGCATGCAGAAGATATAAGCAAACTGCAAGCTCTGGCAAAGGCTATGATGGTTCGAGAGGAGATTGGCTTTGTGATTGCTGAGCTTGAAGAGGAAGAACAATCTATCATTGCCATTCAGGCAGCTGCCAACGCCTTCCTTGTTCGGGCTCGGTACAGGGAGAAGCAAAAGTTCTTCAACGAGAACATGCAGAAAGTCGTCAAAATCCAAAGCTTCATCCGGGCGAAGATTCAGGGCGAAGCCTACAAAAGCCTCACGACAGGCAAGAACCCGCCGGTTAACGCCGTCAAGAACTTTGTGCATTTGCTCAACGACAGCGACTTTGATTTCAACGAGGAGATTGAGTTCGAGCGGATGCGCAAGACGGTCGTCCAACAAGTTCGGCAGAACGAGATGTTGGAGCAGTACATCGACCAACTCGACATCAAGATTGCCCTGCTCGTCAAGAACAAGATCACGCTGGATGAGGTTGTACGGCACCAGAGCAACTACGGCAGCCACTCTATCGGTCTGCTGGCAAACTCATCTATCTCTTCTGCCAATCACTTCGACTTGAAGGCGCTGAACAAGAGCTCCAGGAAGAAACTGGAATCCTACCAGCAGCTCTTCTTCAATCTCCAGACACAACCTCAATACCTTGCAAGGGTTTTCAAGCGAATTCGAGAACAGGGAACACCGGAGAAGGAATGCAAACGTATCGAGCACCTTATGATGGGCTTGTTCGGTTATGCTCAAAAGCGAAGAGAAGAGTACTACCTGTTGAAACTGATCG